AGCTTTTAACATCATCAAGCAGACCTAACACGCTCCAAATAGGGTGACAGAAGGTCAGTATTCTCCAAGTGAACCTAACAGTGCAGGTTTTAGGAAAAGAGCAGTGCTACTGTTTAACGTGTATGGAACAAAAGATGGAGGTTGAAATATATTATTGAAAGATTAGCTCTAGAACAAAAGGTCATAATAACTACCAGGAAATCGGAGAGAGAGGTGAAGAGTAATGTTAGTTAAATCTTCATCAATCTCGGCAGTGAGTTGACGCCTTAAGTTGATGATTCAATAATTCCTACCCACAGATGAGAGAGCTCTCAGAACTAAAATGGGAAACAGTTAAAAGTGCCTGAAGGGAGAAGTGAGTTGGGACTGGAGTTACATTATACATCTCTCTGTGATTTATTTTTTAAGCCTTACACTGTAATTAAAAATAGGAGAAAGAAAGGGGAGGTACTGCGGAATAAAATTGACCAAATTGTTATATGGTGTGCACGTACAAATATGTAATAGCAAATTCTGCTCTTGTATATAATTATAATGTACCAATAAATTTTTTTCAAAAGCTATGTAGGAATAGGAGAAATTGTTAGGAAGCAATTATAGATCCTCAAACTTACTTTTGTCTTTGTATAAATTAATAAATACTTGGGTGATTTGGAGAAGGGGAAAAACTCAAAATAGTCTTGTGGGTAATAAAAGGTAGAGTCTTCCTTTCCATTCTTGCTCGAATCAGGGTAACAAGTTGATGCTTGATCAGGTAGCCTGCAGGCCCCTGATCTTGGGAGAAAACTTGCCAATGACAAGAAAAGCTCCCCACTGTGAGGGTATTGCTGGAGGTTTTCAGCCCTTCAGGAAGGCCTTTTTTTTTTTTTTTGAATGAAATCAGTATTTTTTTTATAACTTTATTTATTTATTTTTATGTGGTGCTGAGGATCGAACCCAGGGCCTTGCACATGCAAAGAGAGTGTTCTACTGCTGAACCATAACCCCAGCCCCCTGGAAGACCTCTTAATAGAATAAAAAGCATTATGGATCTAGACCTAGAGTTTAAAAAAAAAAAACAAAAACAAAAAACTCAAGTTCTAGTTGCAGTTGACACAAACAGAGAAGCCTTTAGCAAACTATTTGCAGGAGAGATTACCTCTTTGCCTTTTAGGGTTTTGAAAGTCACAAAAAATATAAGGCAGTACTTTGTGCCATTCTCAAACATAAAGCTTATCATTGTTAGTGATACTGTTTGAAAATGTGGGTATGTTTGGGGACAATCATGAGTATCAAAATAAATCTTTTATTTATTTGTATGTTGGGGTTGGAGCATAAGGCTTCACACATGCTAAGCATGTACTCTATCACTGAGCAATATCCCCAGTCCATGTGCATCAAAATCAACAATAATAATAGCAATGGATTATAACCTGTTGAATGTTGAGGCCATACTGATATAAATGAGTGATAGGGAAAAGAAAGCCCTTTCTTATAGTAGAATACCAACCAAAAACTGTAAAAGGAATTCCAGTGCTAAAAAGTAATAATATTTAAATTAAAGATAAATTCACAAATCCCTTTCTTTTGAATACAGGCAATACTGAAAGGTAAGATGTTACTGATCTAGTTTTTATTGCTAGTTTATAAAGATGAAAGCTAGTCCCCTCTAAAGTCTCTACTGCCCAAGTTGTCAACATTCAGGTAGAGATATAGTATAGAGGCAAAATAAGATAATTTAAAACCAATTATCTTAATCACTACAGATAGAAAACTTTGGAAAGAGAAAATTGGGTTTATGGTTTGCTAATGGTCATTTGTAGAAGCTGAAGTTCTAGAATCATGCATCTGATCTTAGTCACTGGTGGTGCTGGCTGTTTTCTCCATGACAAACAGAAGCTCATTTTGACTTTAAATGGAAAAAATGTATTGACATGTTCTTTTTTTTTAAATATATTTTTGTTAGTTGTAGTTGGACACAATATCTTTATTTTATTTTTATGTGGTGCTAAGGATTGAACTCAGGGCCTCACACGTGTTGGGCAAGCACTCTACCACTGAGCCACAACCCCAGGCCCTGGCATGTTCTTTAACAATCCTCTTTTTTTAAAAAAAGAAAAATCTGGAGAATTAAAGTTACTGATAGTGTAAAGCAGTAAAAACAAATCCAAAATCCCACAGGCTTTATGCCTTTTGGAGGGGGTATGTTAGTGGGTTTTTTTTTTTTTTTTTTTTAAGGACACTATTTTCAGGAACTATACAGCTCCCTTGGAAAAACTGAAAGAAAAATTACACTGAAAAAAATTTTTTTTTTTTTTTTGCTTTGAGTGCTAGAATCCCTGCTTTAGAGGCACTCCATTATTCTTTTAGAGCCTGTTAGTCATAGCATAGAAGCAGTCATAAGTGGCCTCTTCAGTGACATTAATACCATTTGGCTGAGTAGTAGATTAGTGAATAACTACCCAAGTTGATTCTAAAAGGTGTTCATTTAATAATTCACCAGTACTTAGTGTACTTACCCAGCCTAGCCATTACAGCACTGCTGCTTTTAAACTATTCTGTATAAAGCATTTTGAGGTGAAGAGGATCCTCTGGGGCTGGGGTTGTGGCTCAGTGGTAGAGCACTCGCCTAGCACGTGCCCAACTACACCTAAGAAATAAATATTAAAAAAAGAAGATGATCCTCCTTCAGAAATTCTTTGTCCTTGGTGTAAATATGTCAAAAGTATTTTAAGTCTTTTAAGGAGACTTTTTAGTTAGTAGTGGTGGCTTTGGAGAGATTTTAAGTGGTGATTTTCAGTTCAATACCTCCTGAAACAGGTATTTACTATGATGAAAGTAATCTAAAGCAAAATACTGATAGTTCTTTCCGCAGAGGGAAGTAAAGAAGATGTTACTTCCTCCTCTCAATACAAACAAGCAGAGAAATTCAGATTGTAGAGTTTTTCATAATACTATCAAAATCTTATATTCCTAGTTTCAGAGAGGCTGGTGCTTAACTTGATTTCTTTGAAAAAAAAATTTGAACTCCTCAGGGAGTTTATGACACTTTGCAAAATTCTGAGTTTATAAATGCCTGCCTTTTGACTTAATGATAGATCAGTTCAGAAAGTCATGGCTTGCTTCTTGTTTTAGTGTGCTTAAAATAAAACTCAGAGGAAAAAAAAAAGAATGCCTAGATTTTAGTGGGCTAAATTTGTATCTTGGCTTTTGGTTCTACTGACTCCCTTGTTTTCTGGCTTTTTTGGTGACAAAGTGACCTCTAGCCCAGTCTTCATTCTCACTTATGCCCAGAATAACTCCCTGGAGTGAGGTCCTCTCCAGTAGTTCCCAGCTTTTTTAAATCTGAGAACTGCCCATTAAAGCCAAAAACATTGGCTGACCACATGATATTGTAGTACTTGTACTTTTAAGCATTTGAGAACTGTATAATGATGAGAATAAAACAGATTTGTATCTTTTCATTTTGGCAGAATCTACAAACATTTTAAGAGCAGAAGTATACATATGGGCAAAATGCCTTTTCCCCCCCAGTACTAGGAATCAAAACGATGGCCTGTATGCTAGGCAAGCTCTACCACTGAGCTAGCTATACACTCAGCCTGTGCAAAATATTCTTTATTTAGCCTACAATGTTTAGTACCCACATAGGGTTAATAACCTTTCTTGATAATTCTAATGCCCTACTGCTCATAGAATTAGAACCATCAGTCTGCTGGAGTCAAAGTGAAGTTTACAGACCAATCATTTAATCATCTGAGTCAAATGTCCATTTCCCCCTTTTTAATCTGCCCTCTTGTTCCCTAAGAAATTGGGGGATCATAGACTGTTCCTAGATCTTCCAAATTATAACAGAAGTCCAAGGATTATTCAAGCAAGTAACATCCTTCAATTTATATGAATATTTGTATATTTTCTGACTCAGTAAGATTGTGGGGATCTCGCCAAATATTCTAGTAATCCAGGGATAATACATGAAGATCATGATGGTCTGTTAAAACTGTAGCCAAGTGGGATGTGGTGGTGCACACCTATAATTTCAGTGGCCAGGAGGCTGAGGCAGAAGGATCCAAAATTCAAAGCCAGCCTCAACAATTTAGCGAGACTCTGTCTCAAAAAATAAAAAGGTCTGGGGATGTGGCTTAGTGGTTAAGCACCTCTGGGTTCAATCCATGGTACCAAAAAACAGGAGAAACAACAACAACAAAAACTGTAGTTAAAAGATGAAACTGTGCCTACTCCTGCTTGGTTAACCTTTCCCTGTTTTCTGGTTATATGGATTAAAGGGTAAGGTGATAGGATAGATTTGAGAGAGGCATCTACATCAGAGCAAAAATCAGAATGTATTATTTCTACATTCCTTGTAACCCTCATAGATATCCTTTGGGTCAAAGCTACATAGTCTATCAGGAGAAGATCAGGAATAAATCTTCAAATGCAAATCTGTGCTACTGAATGGATAACTTTATCCTTAGATGAAGTACTTGCTTCTACTCCTCCTCTCTGACAAAATGCTGTCATCTCATTGTTCTTTTTCTGTTGTACCCTTCCAAGTAAGGAAGATAATGCATAAGCTGACTGCTACCTACGCATGTCCAAACATTTGGATAAATCCTACTTTACAATTTAGAAAATGTATGAAAATTATAAATAGAGGGCTGGGGCTAGGGCTCCTTGGCAGAGCACTTGCCTAGCATGTGTGAGGCACTGGGTTTGATTATTAGCACCACATACAAAAATTAATAAAGACATGCTACATCTATAAACTAAAAAAAAAAAATAAATACAAATAGAGTCACATTGTATGCAAATTAGAATTCAAGGCAATATCTCAAAAAATGTTTAGTACAGATAAGTAGAGTGTTAAATCAGGTGACAATTCATAGCTAGTAGTTTTGGGTTCTTAAGTAAAATTAACTAGTGTCCAGTGGAATTTTACCAACCATCAACTATTGCATGCAAACAGTGAGTTTTAACTTTTTTTTTTAAACATAGGGAAGAAAAGTTCCTCTGCATGGAAAATGACACTTTTCAATATCAATCCGGTTGCTCGGGCATACAGTCTGATAACATTAGGGACTGAAATGCTAAATTCTGTCTTCAGTTTCTATTACGTGAAATTTTTTATACATACATACCAAGTTCCAGAAGTGGCCTTCTATCAATCCCAGGTGAGATGGAGTCTTCACTCTACTTTTATATAGGACAGAACAACTTCTTCCTCAGGGTTGTGTTATTATTGTTATTTACAAAACAGTTGATTCTTTGCGCAGCTGAAAAACTTCTTGATGTCCAAGTTTCTCTGAGGACAAAGAGAGATTTTTAAGAGATTGCCACTTAAAATATAAAACCAAGGCTATACTTTGGTCATCTTGCAAATTAACTTATGTGAAATAATTGATATTGTTATTAAAATGTCCTTTGTCACAGAGAGGCCCATGATAGTGACAAATTGTATTGTAACTCATTACAAAGGATGGTTTTAAAACTCTTATGTTTTATAATGCTACTTATTTATTAAAGACAATTACATATTTACTGTACTCATTTTTAGTTGGCAAACATTGATATTTTAATCTTTCCTGGTGAAAGTTATATAACGCTATGCCTATGACAGTATGCCAAAGTGACACTATGTCATTCTTTGCAGTAGCGTGGATGGCTCTGTGCACCATGGTTGGGAGACAGTCTAGCCTAATGATATGGGCACAGACTCTGGGTCAACTACCTTGGTTCAGACCCTGACTATGTTGTTTGTTAGCTAAGCATGTTGCTTAACCTTTTTTACCCTCATTTTCCTTATTTGTAAACTGGGAATATTAATAGTACCTATCTTATAATATTGTTTTTAAGGATTTGATAAAATAGTGCATATGAATACTTTTATAATACCTAACACAAAGTGAATGCACATTGGCTTTGAGTAGTACTAGATGTTATTATTATTAATACTTCAACTGGTTCTGAACATAATGAGATTTTTTTCTATCAGTTTTAAATACTTCATTTAAGTAAAAAAAATTCAGAGGTGATTTCATCTTATACTGAATGTAGTAGTTTACAAGACTATTGAAATAAACCTGCATGTTTCTTCTCCTCAGATAATTTTAATGATCTGGAATGTTCTTAATGTCCTGACTGGGTATTTTCACATCGAATTTAAGACTGAACGCTTTCTTATGCAGTAATCTTTCTGTCTTATATGGAACTCTTTTATATGCAATGGCCTTCCTGCTTCCTTGGTTCCCTTGGAAATTCTATGAAGAAATTGACTGGCTTAGTGCACTTCACCTGGTGGTATCATTATGTGCTTTTGATAGCACACTTACTTGTGTGGAGCAAGCCCAGTGCAGATTCTTTGCAGAAACTGTTACTAGGCAAGAAAGTCATCTTCAGCTGATTAAAATGAATCGTGTGGCAGCACTAGTAGGATCTACCAGTGTCCTTTTCTGTGGCCTCATCTCTAATAACTTGGAAATTCTGCCCAAATTTCAGTCTGTTGCTATTGTCATTGCCTTTTTTTCAGCTTGCAGCCTTTACAGTGGCATGTACTACATGAGATATTTTGAACCTAAAAGAAGCATCGAGGAAAATGTTTTCTTGGAAAGTGAACAGGATCTCACCTGGACCTCTGTCGCCTTATTTTTGAGACAAATCTTGTTCCAGAAGAACTTCTTCCTTTTTCTGATCATGAGTTTCTTACAAGTCTTCCATTTAACTTTCTTCAATAACTGCATGATGATTTTTGCAGATAATCTCATTCCCAGGAATGTTCTTTCTTCTTCCACAAGGAGCATCATGTACGGGGCAGGATTCATTTGCCCACAGGTATGTGATAACTCTTTGAATAACTCTTACCCAGGTGTGGTAGTAATCTCAGCTACTTGGGACACTGAAGCGGGAGGATCCCAAGTTGGAGGTCAGCCTTGGCAATTTAGTGAGACCCTGTCTCAAAATCAAATTAAAGAAGGGCTGGGGATGTAGCCCAGTGGTGGGGCACTTTCCTAGCATGTTCGAGGCCCTGAATTCAATCCCTAGTACTATCAAAATTTAAAGTGTTTAATTCTTAACTGGCTGAGGAAATTAGAAACCTGATTATATCAGTAGTGTGAATAAGATGCACATTTTTATTAAGAAACCTAAAGATTCAGAGCCCCAGACCTTATAGAAGATTCAGTAGAAACATAATAGAAAAAAGAAGATGAAAAGGAAAAAAGGAAGAGTCCAGTGAAAGCCAAGCAACATGGTATTTTAAACATTTTAACTTTTGAATTTTGTTCCCTGAGCTTTTCCATTTAAGTCTCAGCAGAACTATGGAAGAAAATAATGAGTGTGTTGTTTTGCTTTATTGAGGTATGATTTTTGTGACAATTATATGGAAGAAAAGTCACTTGATCAAGAATCCATGGAGCCAGGTTTCAAAACATTTGGCAAAAGTCCTGAGTTCTGGAATTCCAGAGTGTTATTAAAATTCCATGTTCATGACTATTATTATAGAGGGCATGTTCTCCTTCAAAAAACAAAAATACTGTCATGCTGTTTATTATACCATTTGGAGAACTAATATATCACTCCCCTCAACCTAAATATGTCCACAAAAAATGATTTAATTAATGTGACTTCAGTTTCTCCTGTTTTCATGAACAATAAGTAAAACCTATTACTTATATGTTTCAAGGAATAAGGAATAAGGCATTCTGGATAGTCTAGTTTTTACCACTTGCCAACTTTCAAAAGTATTTAAACCATTTGGGGTAGGAGTAGTCCAATAATTCTTAAGTGTAACCATAATTTCTTAAATGAAGTATATAGGATAGAATTTGCCTTTCTGCTATTAGCTCAGTTCTTTATGTCTCCTGTTTATATTATAATAATGACAACTCATGGATTATGCCAAACACATTGTACACATTACCTCATGTAATTCTTATAACAAGCTCTGAAGAGATCCTTTTCATCCATATAGATAAGAGGCACAGAACATCTATGTGCCTCAAGAGGCATGCACTTCAAGATGCTAACTTGGTGTGGTGGTGTGTGCCTATAATCCCAGCTACTCAGGAGTCTGAGGCAGGAAGATCATTTAAGCCCATGGGTTCAAGACTAGATTGGATAGGGGATGGGCTGGGGATGTAGCTCAGTGGTAGAGCGCTTGCCTGGCATGTAAGGTCCTGGGTTTGATCCCCAGCACCATATAAAAATAAGTAAATGGAATAAAGGTATTGTGAAAAAAAATTCTTTTTATTTTTTTAAATTTTTTTACTGATTTTTAAAAATAAATTACATTGAAATGCATTACAATTCTTATCACACATATAGAGCAAAAATTTTCATATCTCTGGTTGTATATAAAGTATGTTGATACCAATTTGTGTCTTCATACATGTACTTTGGTGCTGAGAGCTATAGCCGAGTGGGAATGGCCCCTGGCATTTTGCCAATAGTATTGGTTGAGAGGCAAGCCATTAAGATGATGCTGGATTGATTCGGTTGTATATTAGACCTTTACTGTCCGCCTCGGCCTGCTACTTTGGAGTTCTCCTGGGGATTCCCGGAGAGTTCCCATTGGTTGGGGAAGTGCGGGAGGAGGGATTTCCGGTTGGTGGTTTCTGGAGGAGCCTCGTGGCGTTGGGAGAGTTCCCGGGGAGCGTGTGTGGAGTGTGCTGGTGGAGTTCAGAAATAAAGTTTGTAACTGCTTCAGTGGCTGGTGATTTGTGCCCAGCCAGACTGCGGCATTTTGGATAATGATGTCCATCACATTCCACCATCCTTGCTAATCCCCTGCCCCCTCCCTTCCCTCCCACCCCTCTGACCTATCTAGAGTTCATCTATTCCTCCCATGCTCCCCCTCCCTACCCCACTATGAGTCAGTCACCTTATATCAGAGAAAACATTCAGCATTTGTTTTTTGGGGATTGGCTAACTTCACTTAGCATTACCTTAGCATTACCTTCTCAAACACCATCCATTTACCTGCAAATGCCATGATTTTATTCTCTTTTATTGCTGAGTAATTTTCCATTGTGTATATATGCCACATTTTTTTATCCATTTATCTACTGAAGGGCATCTAGGTTAGTTCCACAGTTTAGCTATTGTGAATTGTACTGCTATAAACATTGATGTGGCTGTGTCCCTGTAGTATGCATTTTAAGTCCTTTGGGTATAGACCAAGGACTAGGATAGCTGGGTCAAATGGTGGTTCCATTCCCAGTTTTCCAAGGAATCTCTCTCTATACTGCTTTCCATATTGGCTGCACCAATTTGCAGTCCTACCAGCAATGTATGAGTGTACCTTTTCCCCCACATCCTTGCCAACACTTATTGTTGTTTGTCTTCATAATAGCTGCCATTCTGACTGGAGTGAGATGATATCTTAGAGTAGTTTTGATTTGCATTTCTCTAATTGCTAGAGATGATGAACATTCTTTCATATATTTGTTGATTGATTGTATATCCTCGTCTGTTCATGTCCTTGGCCCATTTATTGATTAGGTTATTTGTTTTTTTGGTGTTTAGCTTTTTGAGTTCTTTATATACCCTAGAGATTAGTGCTCTATCTGATGTGTGAGGGGTAAAGATTTCCTCCCAAGATGTAGGCTCTCCATTCACCTCACTGATTGTTTCTTTTGCTGAGAAGAAGCTTTTTAGTTTGAATCCATCCCATTTATTGATTCTGGGTTTTAATTCTTGTGCTATAGGAGCATTGTGAAAAAAAATTCTTAAAAAAAAAGACTAGATTGGACAACATAGTGAAACCCCATCTCAAAAAAAAAATCTATCTCTAAGAAGTACTGTGTGCACATCATTTGTTTAGCAGGGTATACTAAAGGAACTTCTGGTTAATCATTGTAGTTCCAGGTGTTAATGTGTGCAAGATAAAATGATGCCCTCCCTTCAGAGCACTGTGAGGTTTGCCAAGCTTTTTACTCCTGTGTTAGCTTCCCATTATTGTAATGAAATACCTGGGATAATTAACTTATAAGAAATTTATTTAGCTCACAGTTCTAGAAGTTCCATTCAAGTTTGGTTGGGCCCATTGCTTTAGGACTCTGGTGGGGTGCTGGATGGCAATGGTAGGGAGTGCTTGATGGAGCAAGCTGGTCACTTCCTGGACAGAAATCAAGAGAAATAGAAAGGGGCTGGGGTCCCACATCCTTTTCAAGGGCATACCTACCCCCATGACCAAAGGGCCTCACACTAGGCCTTACCTACTATGTGTTCCATCACCCCACAACAGGGCCACACTGGGGACCAAGCCTTTAACCCATGGGCCTTTGGGGGGCTTTTGAGATCCAAAACTGTAGCAGCTCCTAATTTCAATGACCCAGATTAGGAAGCTGTTTGAATTTCTGTCTCTATTTATTATTTGCCACCATATTTTAGGCTGTTTATACCTTCTCACTTTAAGTCACGTGCTTATCAGTAGTTTCTACTCTTTGCCAGCTTTAAAAAAGTTCATTAAATTAAACTCCCATGTAAAAATGGAGCTGATTTTTATAAAAAACCTTATTGAGATATGATTCCCATTGCATACAATTCATTCATTTAAAGCACACAATTCAGTATAGTTTAGCATATTCAGAGTCGTGGGATTAGCACTATGGTCAAGTTGAGTTACATTTTCATCACTCTGAAAATAATCAGTCAATCCTCACTTCACTCCCCTCAGCCTTGGAAACCATTAAACTACCTTTTGTCTTTATGGATTTGCTTTTCTGGATTTTCATGTAATAAAATCATATAATATGTGGTCTTTTGTGACTGGCTTTTTCACATAGCCTGTTTTTTAAGGTTCATCCATGCTCTAGTACATGAACATTTCATTCTATATTAATCTGTTTTTAGATGTTAATAACATAATACCACAGAATAGGTATATTTTAAATAAAAGAGGCTCATGGTTCTGTAGTCAAAGTTGATGGGCTGCATCTGGTAATGGCTTTCTTGCTGGCAGAATCCTAAGCAGGAACAGGCCATATTATGTGACAGGAGAGAAAGAGCCCAAGTGGATATATATTCTAGTCTCTTATAAAGTCACTGGTAACCAATCATGGAATCTTCTTCTTGTAAGGTCACCAGTAATCAATCATGGAGGCTCCATCCTGTTAACATTATCGAATTCTAATTGCCTCCCAAAGGCTCACCTCTAAACACTGTAGGTGGATTAAATTTCTACCCTCTTAATACCTCTCAATAGGGACTAAACTCCAACATGAGTTTTTGAGGCAACCAACCATATTCAAACCATAAAATTCCTTTTTTATGATTCAATAATATTCCATTAGATTAATGTACCAAATTTTGTTTATCTATTCATTAGTTGATAGACATTTGAGTTGTTTCCATTTTTGGGTTATTAATGAGTTATGTTGCCATAAACATTAGTGTTAAATTTTGTATGGTCATATATTTTCATTTCTTTGGGGTATCTATCTAGGAATGGAATATATAGGTTTTACGGTAACTCTATATTTCACATTTTGAGATGGTGACAGACTGTTTTCCGGAGTGGCTACACCATTTGACATCCCCACCAGCAGTGTACAATGGTTCCAGTTTCTCCAAATCACTACCAACTCTTGTTATCTTTTTTTATTGTAGGCATCTCATTGTAGTTTTGGATTTCCCTGATGATTAATGATGTTGAACATTTTTCATGGATTGTTGTATAGGTTCTTTGGAAGACTATCTATTTAGCTCATTTGCCCAGTTATTTGCCTTTTTATTATGGAGTTGTAATGGTTTTTCATAGTGTGTATTATCAGATATACTTCATAAAAATATTCTCCTATTCTGTAGGTTGTCTTTTCACTTTCTTGATGGAATTGGAAAGTGTGAGTCCTCCTATTTTATTCTTTTCCAAGATGTTTTTGGCTATTCTGGGTCTTTTGAAAATCTATATGAATTTTAGAATCAGCTTGTCAATTTCTACAAAGAACTTAGCTGGGATGCTGATAGGAAGTTCACTGGATGTATAGATTATTTGGGTGGTATTGCTGTCTTAATGATGTTAAATCTTGGGCTGAGAATGTAGCTCAGTGGCAGAGTACTTGCCTCGAATGTACAAAGCCCTAGGTTCAATACCCATTACCAAAAAACAAACAAACAGGGCTGGGTTTGTGGCTCAGTGGTAGAGCACTCACCTTGCACGTGCGAGACCCTGCGTTCCATCCTCAGCACCACATAAAAATAAATAAGTGAAATAAAGGTAATGTGTACAACTATAACTAAAAAGTAATTTAAAAAACCACAAAAATCTTGATGTTAAATCTTCAGATTCATGAACATGGAATGTTTTTCCATCTATTTTAGATTAAAAAAATTTCTTTCAACAATGCTGTATAGCTTCTTCCTTCTTGTGTTAAATTTACTCCTAAGTATTTAGATAGATATTTAATGAATACCTGAAGGGCTTTCATGAGTAAAGAACATAAGCTTTGGGCTGGGATTATGGCTCAGTGGTAGAGTGATCGCCTATCACATGCAAGGCCCTGGGTTTGGTCCTCAGCACCACATAAAAATAAATAAAATAAATGTATTATGTCCAGCTACAAATAAAAATAATTATATAAAAAAGAACATAAACTTTACTAAGTATGTAGAGTCATGATTTTATTCTGTTAGTTCCCATTGATGTTTTTTACTTCTTTTATCTTTTAGCCATGTTCTGGGTAGAGATCATCAGATGGTTGAATTGTGATGGAGTGAGGGACTGCTAATGCTTCTGAATGAATCATAACCTCTTTATTTTTTTATTGTAAAAATGGCATCTGTTGTACAATTCCACTACCAAATAACTTGTAGTAAGAACTATTACTCATGTCCTTTCCCATATTTTACTTACTGAGGTTTTTAAAACCAAGTTGTACGTATAATTTTTAAAATAAAATGAGTTCATCTATGAATCTTTTGTATCCTGCATTTTATTTTGTTTTTGGTACTGGAAATTGAACCCAGGGTGCTCTACCACTGAACTATATCCCCAGTCCTTTTTTTTTTTTTTTTTTGGGACAGGGTCTCACTAAGTTGCTTACAGCCTCCTGGCTAAGTGGCTGGGGCTGGCCTTGAACTTGCTATCCTCCTGCCTTAGCATCCCGAGTCACTGGGATTACAGGTGTGTGCTGCCAAACCTGGCTGGATCCTGGTTTTTTATCTTCACAAATTTTGGAAATTTTTCATGTAACATATAAGTCTAATTTAGTTTTTAAATATTTATTTATTTGTATAAAAATATGGCTCATATCTTTTTATATATTGGACACAAGAATAATAACTAACAATCATTGAGTTCCTTGTATGTTGAATATAGAGCTAGATGGGGGTGGGAGGAAAATGTCTTTTAGGTGAAATCAGTTCTCTGTGATATAAACTGAGGACATGTGACATTATTAACTTCTTATATTTTGCAGAATATAAGATACAGAAGAAACAGACTCATTTTAATATGTGGAAATGTGTTACTTTGAATATTATAACTATACACAAGAGTATAATTCGATTTGCTAGATGCTTTGCATCCCTTCTCTTATAGAACTCTCAGGAAGGCCTAGGACTATAGCCATCACAGAGCTATTGTTTTTAGTATCCAGAAAGTGAGCTCTTATTTCTTGAAAGTAGAGAATTAAGCTAAAAAAAAAAAATCAGTCGAGGGGGAAAAAACCCTTATGTTTATTAAAGGACATTTGTAGTCTACTTATGTCTTTCAAAATGCTCTTCTAATTGTAATGTACATACATTTGGGTAGTGAAACTTTTCAGGACTAAACAATGTGCTTTTTCTCTTGAGAACAAAGAGTGTCTTCTGATCTTTGTTAATGTACATACGTATATCTAGCACAAACTTTACAGTCTAGAACAATGAACTTTTTCATTTGGTAGAAAGAAATGCAGGGGAAAAAAGCAAATCTAAGTCTCAGATGTCAACATGAATCTATTAAAATTATGAAAATATGTGAGATTAGGCAGGACACACAAGCAGAAAGAATATAGATAGAATCCTGGAATATTATTTACTAAACCTCTGATTTTAGAGTAAAAAGTACACTTCAGATTAATATCACAGTAAGAATAATAGTGAGATTTTTTATATATTCAACAATTGTTTTGGCTACTGTGCATGTACACTATGTGAATTCTGTTTGGGTTTATTTTAGATTTGAGTTGAATCTTTCACTTTACCATAAAGCAATGCTGTTTGTTGCTACTGATCGATGTCTTACATGATCACTTTTAGTAAAATCTATCTTAGTATGAAAATAAATTAGGAAACTATTTCCTGGTTAGTTTATTTGTTATTTATAGAATATTAATATCCATAGTCAATTTTTTTGATATATGTGGATCAAATCATCTGAAACCAAGAGAGAATTAGTTGTACGTTTCAATTGATACTGTAATTCAAAAGCAAATTTATTTTGTAATGAGAATATTTTGTCATCAGTGAGAGTAAGTAGACATAACAGGTGGGTTTGCTTCTTAACACAAAGCCAAATCTGTTTCCATTTCAGTGCCTTGTCCTTATGGGTCAGTCCTGGCTGAAGAAATTTGGTTACCATAAGATTATCTTAACCTCTTTCTACCTAGAAGGAGTGGTCTCCATTATCATGTTACTTCTGGGACAGGATTACTATTACTGTTTGGCTTTTTATCTCACTATTATCAAGTAAGTCAATGCCGAAAACAGTGAACATCATTTTTAAAAAATATTTTTTTTAGATGCATGGACGTTTATTTTGTTCATTTACTTATATGTGGTGCTGAGAATCAAACCCAGTGCCTCACACATGTTAGGCAAGTGCTCTACCTCTGAGCCACAGCCTCAGCCCCCAGTGAACATCTTTGATGGGATTTCGGTGTAATATTCGCTTCTAGGTTGGATCATTGAATCTTTCTACCAAATTGTTTGAATGCTTGTTTGTTTTTAGTACAAGGGGTTGAACCCAGGGGTGCTTAACCACTGAACCACATTCCTATTCCTTTTTGTTTTGAGACAGGGTCCTGCTAAATTGCTGAGGCTGGTTTTGAATTTGGGATCCTCCAGCCTCAGCCTCCCAAGCCGCTGGGATTACAGGCACGTGCCACCACTCCCAGTTTAACAGTTTTTTTGGGTTTTTTTTAAAGAGAGATCACACACTGGGTTGGGGATATAGCTCAGTTGGTAGAGTACTTGCCTTGCATTCACAAGGCCCTAGATATCCCACACTAATTTTTGTAGTAAAGTTAAGTTTCTTCTTGGTGACCTATTAAAATGCAATATTGAGTAAATGCTGTTGTCAGATTCAAAGAAGCTGAGATTCTATTCCTCCTTCAACTCTTTCTCCTATTTCTTCTTTTTTTCTAATTTTTGATTAACAAGTAATAATTGTACAAATTTAATGGGTTTCAGTGTGAAATTTCAATACATGTATAAAGAGGGTTCACTGATTAAATCCAATCTTCCTCTACCCACATTCTTCTGGATGGCTAAATAACATTCCATTGTGTATGTCTTCCAAATTTTCTGAATCATTCATCCACTGATGGATACTGAGGCTGATTTCATATCTTAGCTTTGTGAATAGTGTTGTAAGAAATTAAGGTGTGAGGAATTTCTTTAGCATGCTGATTTTATTTCCTTTGAATATAAACCCAGAAGGGAGGTAACTGGATGATATGCTATTTCTAGTTTTAGGTTTTTGTTTGTTTTTGCAATGGGGTCTTGCTGTATTGGCTAGGCTGGCCTCAAACTTGCAAACCTCCTGCCTCAGCCTCCTGAGTAACTGGGATTACAGGCTCTTTCCTGCCCAGCTTTATTTTTAGTTTTTTTGAGGGGCCTCCATGCTATTCTCCATAATGACTGTTCTAATTCACATTCCCACCAGCAGCAAATGAAATTTCCTTGTTCTACACATCCTCACCATCATTTATTTCTTATGTTTTTGATGATAGCTTTTCTAATTGGGGTAAGAAAATATCTCATTGTAGTTTTGATTTGCATTTCCCTGATGACTAATGATACTGAACCTTTTTTTTCATATATTTGTGGCCATTTGTATTTCTTTTTTTAAGACGTATCTAGTCAGATCATTTGCTTATATTTTAATTGGATTGCTTGGTTTTTGTGTTGTTAAGGTTTTTTTTTTAGTTCCTTATATATTCTGGATATTATTCCTTTGTCAGATGAATAGTTGGCAAATATTTTCTCCTATTCTGTGACTTTTCTCTTTACTGTTGATCCTTTCCTTCCTTTCTTTTCTTTCTTACTGTGCAGAAGAAGCATTTTAGTTTGATGCAATCCCATTTGTCTATTTTTGCTTTTGTTTCCTGTGTTTTTGATGTCATATCCAAGAAGTCATTGTCTCGAAGTGTTTCCCCTATGCTTTCTTGTACAGTTTTATGTTTTAGCTCTTTGATCCATTTTGAGTTGATTTTTTTTTTTTTTTTTTGTACCAGGGATTGAATCCAGGGGTACTAAATAACTGAGCCACATCCCCATCCCTTTTTACATTTATTTTGAGACATAGTCTCACTAAGTTGTTTAAGGCCTCACTAAGTTGCCAAGGCTGGCTTTGAACTTGTGGTCCTCATGCCTTAGCCTTGAAAGCGCTGGGATTACAGGCGTGTGCTACTGAGTCTGACTTGAGTTGAGTTTTTACACGAGGTAAGAGTGATGGGTCAAGCTTCAATCTTCTGTAGGCGACTATCCAAATTTCCCAGTACCATTTATTAAAGAGACTGTCTTTTCTCCAACATGTGTTTTGGGTGCCTTTGTCAAGAATCAGGGGCTGGGGCTGGGGATGTGGCTCAAGCGGTAGCGCGCTCGCCTGGCATGCGTGCGGCCCGGGTTCGATCCTCAGCACCACATACAAACAAAGATATTGTGTCCGCCCAAAGCTGAAAAATAAATATTTAAAAAATTAAAAAAAAATTAAAAAGAAAAAAAAAAGAATCAGGGGCTGGGGTTGTGGCTCAGCGGTAGAGTGCTTGCCTCGCACGTGGGAGATCCTGGGTTCGATCCTCAGTACCACATAAAAATAAATAAGTGAAATAAAGGTATTGTGACCAACTACAACCAAAAGTAAATAAATAAATATTTAAAAAAATAAAAAAATATCAGCTGACAGTTCCTCCTATTTCTGCAACTTCCACTCTTCCCCTGGCACCCACTACTCCAGACATCTTGAATTCAACGGGTCCAAATCAAGGATCTTGCCCCTATCTGCTCTTTTTCACCTTTGTTCACCATTGTGGGAAACGGTTTCACCATCTGTCTAGTTGCCCAAATTTGGGACTGAGAAATTGTTTCCTTCTCTCTCTGAATTTTGACACCTCCATTTAACACCTCCATCTACATCATTGGCAGACTCATCTCTCTAACACATCCCGAATCCATCCTTCCCTATTCATTCAGCTCAGGTCTCAATGTCACTTATATGGAATGCTGTTGTAACCTCCAGTTGTCCCCATTGCCTCCAGTCTCTAGTCCCTCTAACCCCTTCTCCCAAATTGCATCAGAATAACCTGTCATCCTTTTGCTTAACAAGCCAATTGTTTTCATGATGTATTTGAATGATATAAAGTCCTTTTTATGCAGGCCTTCTTTATCTTTCCATCCTCTTTTCTTGTTATTCATCCATTTACACTGTATTCTCCACCATATGGAAAGACTTTGAAATTTCTGGTTCAGACACCTCTGTGTCTTACAAATGCAGTTTCCTGTGTCTGGAAAGCTGTTCCTCATTTCTTGCCTGACTCTCTTCTAAAGGGTTTTTTTGATTTTGTTTTTCCTGGGGTTTGAATCCAGAGGTGCTTAACCACTGAGCAACACCCCCCCCCCCCCAATCTTATTTTTGTTTTTTATTTTGAGACAGGGTCTCACCAAGTTGCTTAGGGACTTACTACATTGCTGAGGCTGGCCTTGAACTTAAATTGCTGGGATTATAGGTGTGTGCCACCATGCCTAGCTCTTGTTTACTTTTTTAAAAAAATTTTTATTATTGGTTGTTCAAAATATTACATAGTTCTTGACATATCATATTTCATACATTTGATTCAAGTGGGTTATGAACTCCCATTTTTACCCCGTATACAGATTGCAGAATCACATCGGTTACACATCCACTGTTTTACATATTGCCATACTAGTGTCTGATGTGTTCTGCTGCCTTTCCTATCCTCTACTATCCCCCCTCCCCTCTCTTGTTTACTTTTTTAAACTTAAACTTTTCTCTCCATTTTATTCTGTTATCATAATCAAAATGTTATGTGCCTATTTACAATTCTTAACTTATCTTGTTTTTATATTAAGAGAAAGCAGATGAAATTCCCTGGAAAGTTCTATTCCTTAGAATCTATTTGTAACTTGAGCAGATTTAATAAACAAGTAATTATTAGGGAATGGGAAAAAGCATAAAAACCATTAAAAATCCTATGTGGAAGTAATTACTTTTAGAAGAGAATTGCATATATTTGAGGGACAGAATTATGTATTTAATATATCTTTACTTTTATAGTATCCAATTTCATTTTTTTCCTTCTTGCAAACCAAATGCCAAGTTTCATTTGATGTGTTTTTTAAAATAACAAAATCTGTGCCTTCTAGTTGTAAAATGTTCATATATGTACATTATTTTAATTTTTTTCCTAGGGTGATTGTGCAAGCTTCTTTTTGTTTATTTAACCTGCCACTAGCTGACCTGATCCATGCAGATTTACTGAAGTTCAATAGGCAGTAAGTATATTTATTCAGATATTAGCTATAAAAATGTCAGATGCAGGTAGGACCTATCAGAGTCGCTATATCTCAGTTATATTAATACTATAAATCACATACAAGAGAGATGGTCATAAGAGGCATCATTAGGAATTGGGGAGTAGAATATCATAGGATATTCCTATTTGTTTGCCCTGCACCATTTCCCTCCACTTTTGAAAGGGCATCATTATTTTTATCCCTCAGGTTCACACAGCCAATGTTACAACAGGGTTAAAATTCAGAAGTAAATCAAAATCTTAGTTAGCTATAGGTTCTACGTAGTGCCATACACACCAGACAGTAAGGTAAAGTGACCTGTGCTCGGTGACGTTCTAAGAATTAAAATTTTAAAAAAATCAAGCTTCATCGTATCCTTTCTTACTTGAAAAAGTCTTAAGCTGATGATAACATGTTTTGTTCTTTGGTATGATTATAAATGTTTTAGGTCAGATATAAAATTCTCTTGGTTGACAAATATTTGCGGATATATACCTCCTTTTGCATTCTAAAGAGGAATGAATTATGTTACAGCCTTTTTTGTTAACTTTGTAGAAACATATTGCACAGTCTCTCTCTTTTTTAAGGCAACTGAAATGGAGGAGAGCTTTGCCCACTGCTTGTTCTCCTCTTTATATATGATTCCTTCAACACAGTCCTGTTGCTGTCATAATCATAGCAATAAGCAAGCTGATGAGTGCCTTACAGTACAGGACCATATCTTCAGTCTAATGACCTTCATGCTTAGAAAGACTGAGAAGACTTTTTGTTTTTCCTTAAAAAAATGATTAAGTGCCAGGAGCAGTGGCTCACGCCTGTAATCCCAGCAGCTCAGGAGGCTGAGGCTGGAGGATCGAAAGTTCAAAGCCAATCTCAGCAATTTAGTGAGGTTCTAAGTAACTCAACGAGACCTTGTCTCTAAATAAAAATATAAAAAAGGGCTGGGGATGTGGCTCAGTGGTTAAGCACTTCTGGGCTCAATCTGCGATACAAAAAAAAAGAAAACATGTTAACAAACAGCAATTTTAGCAAATGTTTTACACCTCTCAATTTCTCCTCCTTCTCCTCTTATTCTTCCTCCTTCTTATTTTTATGTCCCAGAGATCAAACCCAGGGGCACTTAACCTCTGTGCCACATCTACAGCCCTTTTTTATTTTTTGTTTTGAGACAGTGTCTCCCTAAATTGCATAGGGCCTTGCTGAATTGCTGAGGCTGGCTTTAAACTTTTGATCCTCCAATAACAGGTGCATGCCACCATGTTTGGCTCTTTTTTTTTTTCTTTTCTTTCTTTCTGTTTTTTTTTTGGTGCTGGGGATTGATCTGAGGGCCTTACACAAGCTGAGCATGCGCTCTACCACTCAGCTATACACTCAACCCTCAAATTCTCTTTGAATGAGATACCCTACAAATAAATGAAACATTTCAAACAGTTGGAAAGAAAAGGGCACCAACATATGCCAAATGCATATGGCTATTTGCTTATTTACATCTAATAGCACCCTTGAATGATAGATGAGATTGACTTTACAGATATGACCTATGTGTCAGGCAATGTGGAAAAGCTGGGGATACAGTTCAGCAGGTCTTGTAAGAGACTCTCCACTTACCTGATACTCTTTGTTCCTCCTAAACAATGCCTACTTATGTGCATGTATGCCATATGTTGGTGACCGAATGGCTATTTGAGGATACCTGTGCTTTCCTGCTCTGATGATTCAATTCTACCCTTACCAAGAATTAGTGCTTTTTATTTTAAACCTCTTAATGTCAGATGTGCTTGTAATTATAATTACAAGGTTTAATTATTCTTAGATTTTATAAACTTAAGAAATACAGGTATAAAATGAAAACCTTTAAGTGATTTCTTTCTTTCTTTCTTTTTTTTGCTTTAGCCAAATGTCCTGATCATGTCAGAGTGGAAAACTTTATACTGTAATGACAAAACACATGTAGTCCCTGCCCTCATGGCACATACAGTTTTGTGGGGGGAGACAGACTGTAGTTATATTACCATATGATTATAATTATCCTAATTTTTAGGAAACTTATACTATTCATGGATTAACTTTTCCTAGTTAACATAATAACTGATTGAAGAACTGGGAATCAAATCCAAGTTCTTTCTATCAAGTCAAACTTCCTCCAATTCTCTGGCCTTGATTTATTTATTTTCTTTCTTTCTTCCTTCCCTTCCCTTCCCTCCCTCCCTCCCTTCCTTCCTTCCTTCTCTCTTTCTATTTTTCTTTCTTTCTCCTTTCTTTTTTCTCCTCCTTATTGGCAAGGTTTCCATCACCACTTAAAACATGAAAAGATTTAATTTTGTTCAGTCAACGCACTTGATTTATTTTATATGACATCATTATTAAAAAACTACATGGCAGGATTCTTACTAGGAATCCACTAAAGTAATACTTAAGGAAATTTGGGCAGAAAAACTTAGGTGTGAATATCAGTTCTTTCATTTACACATCGTGTGACTGTGGATGTTGTCATCTGTTCTCCCATCTCTAAAAGAGGAGGGTGGCAAAAGCTTTCTTGTGATTGCTGTGGGGCTTAAATTAACTAATATGTGGCGCTCACTTACTCAGTACAGTGCTCACTTACTGAGCATGTAAGAAGGCAGCTGTCTTCTCTTTGCATCTTAACTATGGGGCTAAAATTTTACAATTACTCTGCTATTTCTATTTTTGTTTACTCAGGGTCAGGAGGGACTTCCTAGATGAAGATGTCCTTGATACATAGACATATACGTATGAACTTATGTGTAGAAAAACATACACATGTGGGGCTCAGTGGTGGAGTGCTTGCCTCACATGTGTGGGGCACTGGGTTGGATCTTCAACACCACATGAAAATGGATGAATGGGGATGTTGTGTCCATCTACAACTAAAAAAGAAAGAAAATACATACACATGTAATCTGTGTGTGTGTTAAAGACCCTTGTAATCTTTGTCTTCCAGATTGTCCCTTTGCTCAATGATTTTTGGCATCTATGCTCTGTTTACCAAGCCTGCTCAGTCTTTAGCTCCAATGGGGGTGCTGTGTAAGCTAAAGCAGCATGAATATGGGGACCCAAATAGCAGGTAAAGTAACAATCTTTGAAATCACATGAAAGAAATATGAAAGCAAACTCTGCTGTTATCTTGCCTTTTGGATGTTGTTAGTCATGAACTCATGTATCTCAAGTAAGCTATGACTGTGAATGCTGAAGGAACTTTATGAAGAGCATCTTTAAGTATTGGATATTATTTAAGTTATATGCACTACATATGTCTATATAATTTGTACTAAATTACATATTGGTGACCTTATCTAAGTCATTCATTCATTATTTCATTTCACCAAAGTTTTTAAGGACTTGCTCTTATATGCCAGGTACAAAGGTACTGGGAATACAATATGAATAAGGAGACTTTAAGGGGCTCTACAGATTACAAAAAAACCGTGATAAAGGGGCCCATCAGAGGCATAAGTGGAGCACTGTGGTAATACAGAAAAGAGGTCCCCTCCTCAGTCTGCCCAGGGAGAACTTCACAGGAGTCGGGGTTCTGGAGCTGGGTTTGGGTGACTGAGTTGGATTTCCCCTCCTGAACACAGATAAAATGAAAACAGCATGGTAAATATCAGGAAGCACACATGCACTCTCAATCAGCTGTCCATTTATTCATCCAATAAATGTTATTGAGAGCCCCCAAGCCCTAGACTATGACACAGCAGGGAGGTCTCTGTCCTCTAGAGGGAGGGAGGAGGACTTAAGAAAAACAGAGTGCTCTATATAATGATCAGTTCTTTGGTGAGAAATAAAGATTGGGGAAACTAAGAAGGGTTGGAGAAAGCTGCATTTTAAAAGAGGAGAATGGAGAAGGCCCCACAAGTTGACATTTGAAAGACCTGGAGAGACCTGGGTGGGAACCATGAAGATTCTCTGGGGGGAAGTGTTCCTGGCAGGAGATGCAGGTGGCAAGGCTCTGAGGTACAGCATGCCTGGTGCTCTAGGTCTGGCAAGGAGGCCAGTGTGCTGAAGCCCAGTAAGCAAGAGAGGAAGCCGTGATATGGAGAGAGGCCACGTCACACAGGGCCTTGCAGGGCCCTGTGGTCCTGCTTTGTTACTTTGGTTTCACTGGGAGATGGATGGTGGTGATTGATTGACTAGACCCATTTATAGAGCAGTTTTAATTCATAACAAAGTTGAGCAGAAAGTGCAAAGTTCCCATATATCCCCTAAGTAACCCCACTTGCATCGCTTCCCTCCTTATCAGTGTCCCTTATCAGAGTGGCACTTTTTTACAACTGATGAGCCTACATGCACACGTCATCCTCACCCAGTTCATAGTTTATGTTAGGGTTCACTCTTGGAGTTGTGTGTTTTATGGGTTTGCACAGATGTATCATGGCATGTATCAACTACTATAGTACAATACAAAATATTTTCATTTCTCTAACAGTCTCCTGGGCTCCACCGATTTCTCTTTCTTCTCACTAACACCTGGCAATCCCTGATCTTTTTACTGCCTCCATAGTTTGGCCTTTTCTAGAATGTCATATAGTTGGAATCATATAGTATGTAACTTTTTTTAGATTGGTTTCTTTCACTTAATAATATGCACTTAAGTTTCTTGTATGTCTTTTTGTGGCTTGATAGTTCATTGGTTTTTAGTGCTGCACAATATTCCATTGTCTGGATGTACCATAGTTTATACATTCACTTACTGGAGGGCATCTTTGGTTGCATACAAGATTTGGAAATTGTGAATAAAACTCCTATAAAAATTGGTGTGTACACAGGTTTTTGTGTGGACATAAGTTTTTATTTCATTTAGATTGATGCTAAGGAACATGATAGCTGAATCATAATAAGAATACTTTTTTTTTCTGTAAGAAACTGCCAGACTGTCTTCCAAAGTGGCTGAACCATTTTGCATTCCCACCAACAATGAATAAGAGTTCCTATTGCTGCACAACTATACCAGCAGTGTCTTTCTCAGAGCAGAAGTTTTTAATCTTCAATTCAGCTCATTATTTTTTTTCTTTACTGGATTATACCTTTGGTGTTGTATCTAAAAAACCATTGCCACACCCAAAGTCACCTAGATTTTCTCCTATGCTCTCTTCTAGGTGTTTTATAGATTCATGTTTTACATTTAGGTCAATGATCCATTTTGAGTTGGTTTTCATGAAGAGTATAAGGCTTGTTTATGTCTGTGCTTGTGTGAGGATGTCTATTGTTCCAGCATCATTTGTTGAAAACACTATTTTTCTTCATTGTATAACCTTTGCTTTTTTTCAAAGTTAAATTGATTATATTTATTTGGTCTGCTCTGGTCTTTCTTCTCTGTTCCTTTGATCTGTTTGTTTATTTTTTCACATACCAGACTTCTTGATTACTGCAGCTTTGCAGTAAGTCTCAATGTAGGGTAGTGTCAGTCCTCCACCTCTGTTCTCCAATAATGTCTACTAGCTTCTTTGTAAAAACTTTATAATTAGTTTTCAATATTTACAAAATACCTTCCTGGGATTTTTGACTGGGATCTATAGATGAAGTTGGGAAGAACTGATATCTTAAAATATTGCTTTCCTATCCAAGAACATGGATTATATCTCCATTCTGTTAGCCTTCTTTCTTTCATTGGAGTCTTGTAGTTTTCCTCATATAGATCTTGCATGTATTTTGTTATACCTAAGTATTTCATATTTGGGGGCACTATTATAAATAACATTATATTTTGAATTTAAAATCACAGTTGTTCAGGGGAGAGATTGACTTTTTTATGTTAATCTTGGATTTGACAACCTTGCTATCATAATTTCTTAGTCCCATTAAGTTTTGTTTTTGTTTTTGTCAATTCTATAGGATTTTCTACATATGCGAGGATTTATTTAATTTTATTCTTACAACTTTTCCTTCTAGAAGGCTGGGGATATAGCTCAGTTGGTAGAGTGCTAGCCTCACATACACAAGGCCCTGTGTTCAATTCCCAGCACCACAAAAATATTGTTTTTTATTTTTGTTTCTTTATTTAAACTACTTTTCCTCCCAGAGTTTTACTTTGAATGTTTTCAAAAATAAAAAAAAAAAATGTTTAAAAGTTGTATAGTGATCACATCTTGATTCAACTGTTTACATTTTACTACATTAGTTTTATCACATTTATCAACACATCTACCCTATATTTAACAATCAAACCCTCTTGTTTTATTCTCACATCTTTTCATTATAAAAAATTTTAAATACACAAAAAAGTTTAAAGAAAAGCACAAGAAAATACACATAGTGACTCTTTAGATTCGATAGTTGTTAACAGTTTTTGCATCTTTGCTTTATCTGTGTCTATGTGGGTGTGTATATGTGTGTGTCTTTTGTTTTCTGAACCATTTTAAGGCAAGTTGCAGATATAATGGCATGCTACCCCTGATAATTGAGCATGCATCTCCTAAAAGAATTATGATTGGAGAATTTGGGGCAGAGTAATGACCTGATTCGACACTTTTTAATAGCTTTCCTCATTGCTGATGTATTCAGCGTACACTGAAGGTGTTGGGAAAACATAAAACGGCAGCAGCACCCCAGAGAAAAACCCCAACATGGCGCCTAACGACCCTCTTTCTCCTCTTTTTTTTCTTTCACTGGCGCAAAACGTTCCTGCCGGCGCCAATGTTCAAATCCTGCTGGTGGGAAGCCTTAGCCCCAATAAGAATTAACTTCTTGGGCTCCAGAACTGACATATGGAAGAGCTTGCCAATAGACGGGTGACCCGTTATCTACCTCAGCCCTGCTACCTCTCCTTAGACCTATATAAACCCACAGCCTTTTGTAATAAAGCGGAACCTCTTCAGTGATCTGTGTTGTATGGTGTCTCCCATTGGTAGTGTGGTGCGGCGTCTTCCAGTCTTACAGAAGGGAGTTGGGGAAAAATTCAAGAACCTGTAGGTTAGTGACAGGTGTTTTATCAGGTTCCGTGGCTGCCAGAGGAAGTCTAGGCTGTTACTCCTCCATGCTCTCACATGAATCAATGAATAAGCTATAATAGAAGATTAAAGGCCTTGAATCTTCTACCTGAGTCTGTTCCTGTCCCCTTTCAGCCACCTTGATTTTCTTTTCTTTTTATTTTTTTGGGGAGCGGGGGATGATACTGGGGATTGAACTCAGGGGCACTCGACCACTGAGTCACATCCCCAGCCCTATTTTGTATTTTCTTTAGAGATAGGGTTTCACTGAGAGGCTTGGCAAGTCTCACTTTTGCTGAGGCTGGCTTTGAACTCACACAATCCTTCTGCCTCCGCCTCCCAAACTGCAGGGATTACAGGTGTGCACCGTTGGCTTGGCCCACTGTGATTTTCTACTACAGTACTGCTTGCAGCTTTTAATGCTACCTGGACTTTGAGCAGCTTTCCCAATGCAGGTGGAAAACAGTCATCTAATAGATGGAGAAACTGGGACTGAGAAAGAACTCCTTCACATTCTATGGAGGAAATGTGGTCCAGAGCAGTCCACACTCAACTTCCTTCTCATTTCGTCACACACGTTTACTCAATTGCAACTTTTGTGGCTCTCTCATCAGGGATCACCACATTCTGTTGATTCTAACTCCTTAACCTCAGTGTGAGTGTTGAGAGCCACAGTTTAGTCGGAATGATGCCTGGCATTTTGCCAGAGGGAATGGTTGAAAGGTGACCCTGCTCAGGAATAGGGCGGCTCAGGGATTAGGACGGATCCTGCTGCCTCAGGCGCCCTGCTACTTTGGAGTTCCCGTTGAGTTCTCCTGGGATTCCGGGAGAATTGGCGCGCGGAGCCCGGTGGAGGGAGTATTGTTCCTGGGAAGTATGTGTAGCGTGCCGGTGAGAGTTCGGGAATAAAGAGTTGCTGTTTGAACCTACAAGGCTTTGTGGCAGCTCAGTTATTTTGTGCCCAGCCACACTGCTGCATGTGAGTGTCAGTGTCCTCTTCACCTTCCCTGTTAGAGTGCTTCAGCTCAGACCCACACCAGAATTTCTCATATAAAATCACTCTTTGGTTTTCAATTGGTCTTCCATTGTTTCTTTCTCTGCTACTTGGCTAACCTCCCTTCAAAGAATTCTCTACACT